GGAGGAGCATGTCTGGATTGCTCCAAGAGCAGAAGGAGGCCACTGCGGCTGGAGCTGAGTGATTGCAGAGGAAAGTCCTAGACGAGGTTCGACAGGTGTCAGGACTAGATCACAAAGGGCCATGTAACCATTGCAAGGATTATACTGAGACATGGGGTACTATGGTGTTTTCAGCCCCGGAATAGCATGATATAATCATATTAGAGGCCCGGTGCACGAATTTGTGCCCAGTGGGGTCCCTCAGCCTGGCCAGCGATTGGGGCTCAGAGGGGTGGGGGGGGCGGGCGGCCAGCCAGGGGGAGGGCAGCTCCTGCATTGAGCATCTGCCTCCCGGTGGTCGGTGCACATCATAGCAACTGATCACTCAATCGTTTGGTTGCTTAGGCTTTTATATATATGGATTTATTTTTCAAATGAGCACTCTGGGCTGTTATGTTGAGAATGGGTGGCAGGGGAGGGTAGGGGGCAGAAAGCAGGGAAGGCTGGTTGGGGAAATTACTGCAATAATCCAGGAGGTGCTGGTGGCTTGACCCCCCAAGTGGGGCAGCAGAGGTGTGGCACGTGGTAGAAACTCTGGGGTATCTTGTGAAGCCAGAGCTTCGTGGTTTGTTGATGGACTGAATGTCACCTGTGAGAGAAAGAGGGGGGCTTCAGGTTTGGACCTGAGCAACTGAGGGGAGGAAGTGCCATCCACTGAGACAAGACGCATTGTTTCTTCTTTCTCCCCATGAGCACGAGGTTTTAAGGTCAGAGGCTGTGTCGTTATATCTTTAGCTCCTGATACAAAGCCAAACACAAAGTAGGCACATGGTTGCTGAATTGGAAACAACCATTGCTCATGCTGTCTTTACAGAGTGCCCACTGTGTGCTCCTGGGGAATGGGGTTACCATGGAAATAGACAGAATCGCTCCTTCTTTTAAAGACCATAACGTCTCACTTGAAATCAGTCACTCAGTGGCTGCACAGCTTTCCAAGTACAAGTATCTAGATGAGTGGTGACTTTATAAGACACTTAACAAAGTTCTTGGGGTTTCTTTTCAAGTTATTTTTTTGGCAACCTTCGTTCCTCATTCCACCACCGTGCAGAATGGGTCGCACACTTTTCTTAATGAACTGGGTTATAAATTTGAGCATGTGGCCTCCCTACTTCCTCATCACATCAGCAGCATCACATACAACCTCCTGTATATACTAATTTCCTGAGATCGAAAAGCCATGTTGACCTCCTCCTTTCTTTTCCTTGGAAGGGAGAACGGTTCTCCCTTATTCTCCTCCTTCCTGGAAAAGTAATCTCTTTCCATGTAGGGGCCTCAATTCCATTCAGCTTCATCCACCAGGTCAGGCGCCTGGATTGAGGGGCCTCCTGATAGACTTCTATTCCTCACGGGAGGTTTCTTAATCTTTTGTAAAGAACGAAGTCATCTGCGACAGGCAGTCTGAGGCAGTCATGGCTCTTTAAAGGGACATACGGTAAAGTCACCTGTGAGCAGAAGGACGTCTCTCTGGTCACACCTGAGAAGTGTGCAGGCCTGGAAGTCGCCGTTCACGGAGCGTGACCGCTGGCACCTCGGAGCCTTTGAACCCTGCAGTGGGTTAGGAAGGGAGGGATGCCCTCAGATCTGGCGCGTAGAGGTTCACTCTTGGCTTGCAGGAAGGAGCAGTAAGTGCTCGAAGAGCCCATGCCCAGCTGTTCCGTTGCTAAGCAACCTTCATCCTTATCCTTCCTGATGTGTGAAGGCCAGCCCAGCCACAGTTCATCCGCATGTTTTGGTGATGGAGCCGCTTCCAAGGGAGAGGGCCTTTGGAGAGCCCAGCTCTGATGGGGAACATGGGGGGAAGGAAGCCAGGAAATTAGCTCCCCTAATTGCATTAATGGGAGGCTGGGCAATCTACTGTTGTTTTCAGGAAATGATTCCATCACAAGGTACCGAAGCAGAAAGTCTCCCTGTCAAAGGTCACCCTTTCACACACACCCTCCCTTCTGTTGGGTTGCAGTCCCCCTGCCCCCAGAACCACAAGGATGCTGTTTTTTGGTTTTTGTTTTTTGAGAAAAAAGCCGTTGCTGTGATACTTACTTGCCTCCAGTACACTTAGCGCCGGATTAGCTGTGGCAGTGGGAAGACAGGGATGGATCTGGCTCAAGGTAAAGCAGGAACGTCATCTCACCTGGTGACCCCCATCTCATTCCCTGCTCACTGTCTTTGGGACAAGGAGATGCAGTGAAGGGTGAAGGGTTGGGTCAGCAAGAGCATGAGAGGAAGCCTGGAGACATGGGACAGGAGCCCAGAGCCCCTAGAATAAACGGTTGCTCTTTGAATAGGAGCAAAACTGGATTACAGCTTCATTTACAGACTGGCCTGGTGACACCTTATTTCCTTTTCGTGAAACATCAGCTGGGTGGCTAGAAGCGACTTCACTTGAAAAACTGGGTGATGCTGGCAGTATGCCCTGCCATCACCATGTAAGGGACCCACATTAGGAGTCTCCGGATGCCCTGGTGCCATGGAAACGACTTCATCTCCAATCAGTGACCCGTTGAAACTCGTGCGTCTCGCTGGGCTGGTGGGGCTCACGCTGCAAGAGCTGCAGGCGAGATGAGGCTGCCAGGGGCTCACACTGACAAGGAAACAGTCATTTGGCTGGAAGCACTCTGCCTCCTTGTCTTGATGTCAGGTTCAGCCAATCACTCCTCCTTTAACATCATTGATTGAGCCCCTACTGGGATCTTTCTCAGCCTTAGAAACGTGCATTTTTAAATGGTCACTTTACTAACAGGGCTCCTGCAGTCTAGCAGCAAACAATTTACATTTTTTAAAAATGTGTCGCTATATATATTTGGGTTGTATTTGTACACACGAGGAAGAATGCCTGAATTTGTGTTTGTTTGTTGACGTCCTTAGAAAACGCTAGTGGTTAGCAGGCTTTGGAGACAGGCTTCCTTGACACGAGACCTGCCTTGGGAGGGTACTTGCTGATATTTAAGTCACACTTTCCTCGACTATATTAGGCATCGTTAGCGGCCTGACAGGGAGACAATGCATGTAAAGGCATTCTGATCTGCCAGGAATGGAAGCCGGTGTGTCCTGTCGTGTCTAACATTCTTAACAATCCTATGAGAAACCCATTATACAGAGGAAGAAACTGAGACTCAGAGAGGTTAAGTAACTCACCCAAGATCACACAAACAGAAGGGGAGAATTGTATTGCTTTTTGGTCTGACTTCAGACCCTACACATCATTGGATTGCCTCCCTGTAGAAAAACGTATGGCTGAACGGACCTGGGGATACACATGACTGGAAATTGAGATTTATTGGTGGGAGTGAATGGTGAGGCTGGAAAAATAGGTCAGGATAAGATTTGTGAAGGTACAGAAAGTTATCCTAGGGAATGTGAACTGAATTCTGTAGGCAGTAGAGATTGCCAAAGAATGTTGAGCTAAGAAGAAGCAGCCATAGTTTTGGAGGTTCGTTGTTGTTCTTTTTTAATTGTTTTTAAAGCTTTTTCCCTGTCTCCACGTTCTTCCCCACCATTTCAAATGAAGGCATCGTATGCTTCCCTCAGGGCCCAGATGGGGCTCCCAGGATGGGAATTCCAGCAGAGAAGTGCTGGATTAGGGACAGAATTCCATGCAGTTAATTCCTGACCCTGCAGAGTCTTTGCATCGGGACAGTGTCCAGTTGAGGGAGCTCTGGGAGGTTCCCTGTGCGAGAAGCAAGAGCCTCTGCTCCTGCGCTGCAAGAAGCACTCAGCGCTCGCCTCAGCCCGCGTTCATCTCCTCCACATGGGGCACCGTGCCTTCTCTCCCTACCCTCTAACCCTCCTACACGCACGCTGCTTCTGCCCGCGTGGGAAAGTGCGCTACCTGCCTCAGTGAAAGACGGGCAAGGACCTGACAGACAAACACTTGGCCCCTCCTCATCTCACAACCAAGACAGATTGTCATGAGCATGTTGCGGAGACAGGAAGCTGCAGGGACCCTGTCCTGTGTAGGTTCTTGGGCAGCTAGTACCAACCCATGGCCATGGGTGCTGGGGCGAAACCTATTTGCTATCTATGCGTTAAATGTCCGTGTTCCTTTATTCACCTACACTCATGGCCTGGGTATTTCAAGGGCTCCCTTCCTGCTGAGATTTGCTAGTCAGGCACAATTTACAAAAGGTGAGGGGCCTTTTCTCTAGTGTTTTCTGCCGAGCCCACATGTTTGATAGCTCTGATTTGTCGAGTGCCTGTTTCACGTCCAGCCCAATCCTCCAGAGGATTCATTATCCAGGGAGCAGGGCCACTGGGAAAACCGACTGGTACTTCAAAACTTTAATAATAAGTACGGGGGGGAAAGAGGTGATTAGGATTTTATCCTGAGAAATTAGTCAAAAAGTATGAGAATACATTTATTTTTTCTTATGTTTATGTTCAACAAGATTACATTTTAATTTTTATCGTGCCCAGTTTTGTAGATGGAGACTAACGCGGTTGGTAAATATTTCTGCCGAAGTTTCCTCTCAAGTCATGATGTCAGGGTGGAGCATTCTTTCCTTGCCATCTGAATTCAACAGTCATCTCTGAGAGGGAGTCCCTTCTTAAGAACTTTCTGGGGCTTTATTCGCTCTCTCCTGACACTTGATACATAAATTATTCCTCGGAAAGCAGCAGCCATCTCATCTTCCTTGTCCATTTTCGGTCCGTTGTGGACCTTACTCACGGGTCCAACTGACTGTCATGTTCTGCGTTGGCTAATGTTTCGGCACTTGACTCAGGCAGTTCTCCAACATTATTTTTCCAGCTTCACTGATTGTTTCCTCTTTTGTAAGCTCTGCAGTAGATTCATTCATTCTGCCAAAGAAAGTATGTAGTAAGCACCTACCAAGTGCTCTCTGGAAGCTGGCATATACGTAGTAGCCAACAAGACGGTCCCCAGGTCCTAGTCAGGGGGCCTACATTCTCATTTGGGGAGGAAAGCATAAACAGTGCTGTGGCGAGAAACGCAGGTGGGAAACGGTGTAGGAAATGGAGATCTGTGCTGGCGATGGGAGGGATGGCCGTTTCCAAACTAGTGGTTCTGTTGAACAGCTTTTACTGTTTGAAGAATGATCTCAAAATGTGTGGCTTTGCAGAACAGATACAGACGGTCTCCAGATTTTGTGTGTCAGGAATTCCGGGGCAGCACGGCTGCGTGTTTCTGGCGTGAGATGTCTGTGCATCTGAAAGCTTGACTGGGGCCGGCAGATCCACTTCCCAGGTGCCTCCCTTGGACCCGCTGGAAGAGGCCTCAGTCCGCATTGCTGTTTGCAAGAAGGCCCTCGAGGGGGCTGGTTAGGCTTCCTTACAATATGGCAGCTGGCTTTTCTTCCTGAAACCAGAGATGCAAGGAAGAGCAGGGCAGAGCCACATGCCTTTGACCTGGCCTTGGAAGTCACACTGTCATTTCTGCAGTGTCCTAGTGACTACATGTCAGTGCTATTCCATGGGGGAGGGGATGACACACAAGGTGAGTTCCAGGAGGTCACTGGGCCCGATTGGAGGCTGGCCACTGCTGTGGGCCTCATGGAAAAGGTGGCATTTGAGCACACATGTGGCAGATTGGCCGTGGATTTTCCGGTCTCCACATCTGTCACACAAAGAAGACTGACCAAGACTTCATGAGCCTGAGTAAAGCCAATGTGAAGAAGGGAGGGATATTTGTGTGGGGATCCGTTTTGTTAGTGTTCAATTCATTGTACCGGTTTTTACATCATGACACTCTTGTTTCCATCTCTAACCCTGTCATGGTGGGGCTTGTATAACAAATCTTAGGCTAATCAGGATGCTTAGATTTCTCTTACCCTTGAGAGGCGCCTTGAAGGGTAGGTGTTGTTTTCTCTGTCTTAGAGATAAAGAAATGGAGACTGAGGTGAGGACGTGATTTCCCAAGGCCCCAGAGCCAGCAAGTGGCAGAGCTAGGATTGGAGTCCATGCCTGTTTGCCTGAGAAGTCCATGTCCTTTGCACTCTGACTCCTTATCCAAGTGTCATGCCATTGTTCATCAGGGAGCCATTGGCGGCAAATCAGTGGGATTCTGTTTTCTTACCTACAGCGGTATCGAACACCGATGGCGAGTACTTCATAAATGGGAACTTCGTTATCACAATGGCCAAGAAGGAGATCCGCATTGGGAAGGCTCTGATCGAGTACAGTGGCTCCGAAACCGTCACAGAGAAACTCAACTGCTCAGGCCGCATTGAACAAGAACTCCTGATTCAGGTAAACGCGTGGCCACGAGCCCACAGCCCTTTGCTTCCACTCGGGCCAACCAGGCATGCAAACACCACGTCCATTTTGTCTGCACATCGCAGGTGCTGGCGGTGGGGCAGTTGTTCGACCCCAATGTGTACTACTCTTTCAATGTCCCCATCGAAGACAGGCCCCCGCAGTTCTACTGGAACAGTCACGGGCCCTGGCAGGCCTGCAGCAAACCTTGCCAAGGTATCAGCTTTCCAGTTGCGTTTGGGGGATGTGAGGTAACCTTTTAGTGTGTTCACTTTTCCAGTTTTATCGACATATAATTGATATTACAACATTGTATGTTTAAGGTGTACGATGTAATGATCGGATATATTACAAAAGAATCACCACCATAAATTTAGTTTTCACCCATCATCACACATAGCTTCATTTTTATTTCTTGCAATGGGAACTTCTAAGATCTAATCTCTGAGCAACTTTCAGATATACAACACAGTGCTGTTAACTGCAGTCACCATGCTATACATTACATTCCCAGGACTTATCTATCTTCCAATGGGAAGTTTGTAGCTTTGACCACTTTCAACCCATTTTGTCCATCACTACCTCCAACCCACACCTCTGGCAACCACTAATCTCATCTCTGTTTCTCTGAGCTTGGTTTTCTTTTTAGATTCCACAGTTCTTCTTTCTATATATATCTGACTTAGTTCACTTTGAGGTATTTTTGAGTTAAAAAAAAAGAATTGCAGTGTTTTTAAATATTTTTAAGAAACAGGCAAATACATGCTGTTTATACAACTTTCTATCTGCCTGCATTCTCTGCTGTGCATTCTCTGAGTCTGTCCAACACATGGCTGCATGGTAAGCTTGCTGAGGGCTGAGGGCTCTGTTAGCTTTCCTCGTCTAAGAGTTTCACACACACTGGGAAGCCAAACCAATAGGCTCTGTCACTTTCCAGAAATATCAATTTAGTAGTCGTATGACATATTATTTATTGTGTTTCCTTTTGTCTGAATTAGGTGTTGGCAAACCACAGACAGGGGGCCAATTTCAGCCTACCCTCTGCTTTTATAAATAAAGTTTTATTGGAACACAGACACACTGCTTGTTTATATACTGTCTATGAGCAGCTGCTTTTGTCCCATAATGGCTGAGCTGAGTTTCAACAAAGGTCATTAGGCCCACAAAACCCAAACTATTTACTATCTGACCTTTTATAGGAAATGTTTGCCAAGCCCTGGTCTGAACAGTTTATGGAATAGGTTACTCTCTCTGACTAACTTTCCCCCTGCTTAGGAGAGCGGAAACGAAAACCCGTTTGCACCAGGGAGTTCAATCAGCTCATAGTTTCTGATCAAAGGTGTGATCGGCTGCCCCAGCCAAGCCCCATCACTGAGCCCTGCGGCACAGACTGTGACCTGAGGTAAGGCCCGTGTTCCGTCATGGTCTTTACTCCCGAGCTGTGGGCGTCTGGCCGGAGGTCTCTGGGTGAGCAGCAGGGGCAGGGGATGTTGGTCTTTCATCCCCATCCTTGTGTTCCTGTGAAATGGAGATTATCCAACACACACACCTGCACATGTCTTATTCCTCTTTTTTAAGAATTAAAAATAGCTAGTAAACTATGGCACTTGCCAAAAGCAGTTTTCATTTGACCCTCACAATTCACTGTGTAGGTATGGTATCACTATGATTGCATCACATCTTATGCAAAAGTTTAGTTTGAAAATCAACAGAAAAGGGGGAAACATTATCCCTTGAAATACCTGGAAGAGTCTGTAAACACCCAGAGTGTATATACCCCAGGGGAGCTCTTATGCACATGAAAGTTGCAATGGGCTAAGGCAAGGTGGACTCATAGAAGGAGTTGGAAGGAAATCTGTATGTAGCTGTCTAAGGATCCAAACAATTCTGCATTTAAGTCTGAAATCTAAGGCAAGAAATGGTGGGTGGGTGAAGAATGCTATAGTTTTCCCATTTGCCTATAAGCTTGATTGTAACACGTTTGAATATTAAGTAGCCTGGAGGTTGCATTGTATAGTCTACATATTAGTTAAATGCAGATAAGATGAGTTGGTGCTTTAGTCTCCTTTGACAGAAAAGAATCTAAAGTAATAAAAGACAGACATGCAAATTGACCGTACCTTCTCTATGCCTTAGCCATGCCCACCAACCAATCAGAGCGACTATATGCAAATTAACCCAACCATGATGGCGGCTGGCAGCCACAGAGCTGGAGCAAGCAGGAGGCTTGGTTGCCCCAATGATGTAGGAAGCCAAGCTTCCTGCTTGCTGTGTCGGGCTCTGAGCTCCACTCAAAGCAACAAAGTTTCAATTATAGAAGGTAAATAAATCCCAGAAGAAAAAAAGGAGAGGCTGGGAGCTTCCATCACCAGGGGGCTTCGCCAGCCTAAAAACGGCCCTCAGCCCCTCACCCAGACTGGCCAGGCACAACCCCCCCCCCTAAAGGGGGTGTGGCCACCCTGAAAACAGCCATCAGTCCCTCACTCAGGCTGGCCAAACCTCCATGGGGTGAGGGTCCCCAATGGGGGGGGGGCATGACGAGCCTGCAAACAGCTATCAGCCCCTCACCCAGACTGGCCAGGCACCCCAGTGGGGACCCCCACCCTTAAGGGGGTCTGACCAGCCTGCAAACACCCATCAGCCCCTCACCCAGGCTGGCCAGGCACCCCAGTGGGACCCCAACCCTGATCCAAGACACCCTTCAGGGCAAACCAACCAGCCCCCACCCATGCACCAGACCTCTATCCTATATAATAAAAGGGTAATATGCAAACTGACCCTAACAGCAGAATGACTGGGAATGAGTGGTCACTGTGACACACACTGATAACCAGGGGGCAGACGCTCAATGCAGGAGCTGCCCCCTGGTGGTCAATGCACTCCCACAGGGAGAGCTCTGCTCAGCCACAAGCCAGGCTGATGTGTGCCAGTACAGCGGTGGTGGTGGGAGCCTCTCCCGCCTCCTCAGCAGCGCTAAGGATGTCCGACTGCAGCTTAGGCCTGCTCCCCGCTGGCAAGTGGACATTACCCGAGAGCTGCCAGGCTGCCAGAGGGATGTCTGACTGCCAGCTTGGGCCCGATCCCCTAGGGAGTGGGCCTAAGCCAGCAGGTGGACATCCTCCAAGGGTCCCAGACTGCAAGAGGGCATAGGCCGAGCTGAGGGACCCCCCGAGTGCACAAATTTTTGTGCACCGGGCCTCTAGTTATTAATATAAAATAGTATGGGAACTTGTAAAGGTCTCACCACTCATAAGAAGCAAAATGGACACTTCAGCACTTGGCAGGTTCCACATCATCCTACTAAATTCTATTAAGTGGTGTTGGCAGGCCTGTTGGCTAGAGGGAAGATAATAAGGCATTCTCGAGGTTACAAGAGATGAGCAGTGCTGCGATCAATTAGTCAGGTCTTTCATAGGAATAGGAGGGGCAACATGGCACGTATGTCACATCTTTGTGAGTCCTGGTCTGAAGTCTCTGATTCAGAGCCCTGGCTCTCTCCCCACTGCCCTCTTCTCCACCCGTGCCAAGGACCTGCTTGCTGGTGGATTTGTCAAAAAGCATTGATAGAGGTCATTGTAGAAAGAAAAACCCAAGGCCTTAAAAGGCAGACATTCATGGGCAGCATTAATTCTTATTATAGGCAATCTCCATACAAACCCATTGCTTCAGCCAATTGAGTTCAACTAAAGTTCAAGGTCTTTTCAAAAAAATAATTATCTAGTTAATGCTGAACTGAATTAATCACTGAAGTTTAGGGAGGAAACATTGAATTGGTGGAGAGATTCCTTGAAGCACAACTTCAATAAATTGGGAAACGTGACATTTTACAATTAACCTTATATCAATTATAACTAATAATGTTGTAACAATAATAGTAATTATATTGTTCAGAGTGGTAACTACTCTGCAAGTAATAATATAGTCAACCATTTACTATGGATTATTTTTAAGTAATATATGATCCTATTAACAGTCTTTTGTTAATCACATATATAATCACATATATATAAAATAGTATCCTATTAATTAGTTAATATATTAATGTCCTATTTATCTTATTAATAATCTAATAAGCAGCACAGTACCTAAGTATTATTATTATTACTCTAAATTAACAAATAAGGAACACAGAG